CACACAGCCCCAGGTGAGGCGGCCCCAGGTGAGCATACCCAGGCCAGGTCTGTGCCCCATACACACAGCCCCAGGTGAGGCGCCCCCCTCCCCGCACACAGCCCCAGGTGAGCGCCCCCAGGTGAGGTGTACGCCCCCACCTCTGCACACTCCCTGGGTAAGAGCCCTGGCCTCACCACACTCTCCCCGTGGAGACATTCTCCCTAGCTCCTCTTATGCAGTCCTCATGCGAGACCACCTCGCCCCCTTCATACCTTTACCCCCCCAGCGAGAGACACTCAGGTGAGATGCTCCCCCCCATACGGTACCGCAGGTGAGATGCACGTGCACTCCCCAAAGTGAAAAGACCTTACTCCCTCAGAGAGACCTTGCTTGGTGATGTCTCCCCAATGGTCCCCACAGATGAGTCCCTTCCAGTCTCCCCTCCTCCATTTCTCCACAGGAGCTGTTCTGTCAGGCTGCTGTTGGGTGTGCTGAAAATATTAACCCCCTCTGATGGGGTCAAGCCAGGCTGTGCTGGGGCAAGTAGTTCAGCTGTTCTTCAGTATTTCCATGGAAACGTGGGCTTTGCCATTGTAAGGGAGTATTTTATAGGATGGCAGCCTGTTGTAGTTGTGATGGCTGTGACTTAAAATGCCTTGCTTGAGTTTCAAAACTTTACTGTTGAAATGTGTGGTGAAGCGGTCCTAAATGCCCATTCCTTTATGGGGAAGGTGTTAATACAGTATACAATATAGCTATCTAGTAAGTGTCACTAAATAACACAAACAAAAATATGGGCTAACCCCTCCCCCAGTTGTTATTGAAATAAACAAATACAGTATGTATATGAGAGAAACTTGAACCATAATATTTGGATGAGGATCCGAAACTTTTTCTAAATGAGTGATCAGCTCTGGGTTTTGGTTTGGGCTCCTTTCTAATTCAGTATTGCATTGTACAGTTCTGAAAACAGACACAAAGCATGTGGATCTTGTCAGTTTCTAGCTCCATGCTTATGGAAAGCAGGATTTATATGATTACCAGAAATCCTATCAATGATGGGAGTGACAACAAGCCAATCCACCGTATTCTATTGCCTGTGTCAGTATTGTTCTCTGCAGTCTAGTCTTTGGTGCTTTATCTTAGTGTTAACGATGGGTCCAGGTTTAGTACGAATCTTCAATGCTATAAATGTAATCAGTGAAACTTCCTATAGATTTGTACAGTATGGATGACATCAAACTATGTTCATTAACATATTTCATTTGCTGAAAAGTACAGTGATACTAAGGTAAAAGGAGTAAATGGTAGAAAATAGGGATTTAAAATCCCATTTAATTGGTTAACCATGTAAATGTCACGTTAAACCAGTTAACCCATTAAAGGGTGGGCAGGGGGGCCCTCCCACCCACGGGGACCTGGCTCAAGCATCCGCTCCCAACCCTGCCATGGAGCAGCCCCTGTTTGCAGCAGCAGGCAGGGAGCTGCTCCAGCCCTCACTGCTTAACTAGGTGATGCTTACGAGCTAACATTACGCATCCCTAGTACAAAAATACTTCATTTATTTACTGGTGTAGGTGTTTGTGCTCATACGTAATTGCAAACAATTGTTGGTAGCTTTAACTTGTATAACAATGAAACACCTATTTATTTTATCTTGCAGTTTTTTGTAAAGGCTATTTTTTACTTTGTTTTTGTATTGAAACATTGATAGTTTTGGTATGTTATTAATATCCTTGTTTACCATCTGTTACGTTAACTTGTATTTTGAGAAAATATATATCAATGTGATAAACCTAGTTTTAAATATTCAGTACATAGATTTCATTTGTCTAAAAGATTCTATAACCCTTCATCTATGATTAACTGCTTTCTCTGTTGTGTTCCAGCCTATCATAAATCAGCATTACCTTTAGGACAATGATGCTGAGTTATATGTATTAACAATCTTAGACTAAGTCTCCCTTTCCTGCCAAAAGTAGTATATGTGTAACATTTTTCAACAAATTAGTGTTAGGTACAAATTCACTTTGTACAATATCTGCAACAAATGCTGTTTACTAAATTCTAGAACCTCAGTCTTCCAAACATAAGCATATAACTTGATTTTTGTGAGTAGCCCTATGAAAGTCAATCTGATTGTTCATATGAGTCAAGCCTGTGCATATGTGTTTATATGATTGTGGCATAATCTGGTACTCGTTATTAAACAAGTATTGTTTTAAAATCATGTTTATCTTTGAAAAACAAAATAAAGCTTACCTTTTACTCTATGTAAACTGATCCTTGCTCCAGTTAACTTGTCAAGACCCAGTTGTGGGGGGAAAACTTTGGAATTACATAAAGATAATAGTTGGAGAGTCAGAGATACAGAATTCATTTCTTGCACATAAATGGTGATAGATCATAAAACTTTGCTAAAAGTTCTGATGTAAAAAATAAATAGTGTGTGTGTGGGGGGGGAAATGCCATTGATGGTGAATGGAGATATATTTAGGTCTAAAATCGAGGGAGGTGGACGAAGCGACCTCTGTATTTACTATTATGTTCGAGTGAGAGAGCGGGATCATGACAGCAGAGCTGCAAAGAACTCTGTGCGCTCCCATGGTGCTAGTGAGACCTGATCTCTGTAGTTGCCAGGACTGTGAGGAGGAAGACAAAAACAAGGCCCTGGCAGTGAGGTAGGCCCCTTTCTGCTCAATGGCTCCTGCACTAATCGATTATTTAAACTTCTGATTATCCAAATAAAATCTACCTCTTTCATAGCATGTGGCTAAATGGGAGTATGCTATGCTTTGTTTTCCACTCTTGGAAGCATTGTGAAGCTAATGATACCCAAAAAAGTCAGTGTATAGCTCTGAAGATAATTTGCATATCACTAAATTTCAGTATTAAAAAATTGTGTGGGTTTCATTAAATTAAATCGTTTTCTCTGTACAGCAGGCTTCCAATCCACACTGTCCTTCCAATTTGCCTTAACCCTGATATGGTGGAATCTTCATCAGGTCCAACCAGGGTAGCTTCAACTCAGTGGCCTTTGCAGTTTTTAGCCTCAACTGAGCCTGCCAATTTGGACTATGTGGTGGAGAGTTTATGATTTAGGAGATGTAAAATGAGACTCACCAAACTCACCTTATAGAGTAGTCACCAAATAGCCATTACATAAAAACCACTTTCAAGCCATAGGTTGGATTTAAACTGGTGGTTTGCAGATGAAAAGTCTCTAGTTCATTAACAGTGGGCATTCCAGTGCCCCAATAAGTGCTGATTTAAAGGAAGTTAAGTAACATCAAATTTGCAATGACAAGAATCAGAATTAGGATTTTCTGGGTAGTCTTAATTCTGCCTCGTGTGTAGCTTCTTCTTCATACAATTGTTAATTACAGAATCACATATTATTTTTTTTTCTCTGCATGGATCATCAGCAGAGTTTGAACTAGTAAGACCTAGACATCTTCAACTTGAGCTACTTCTAAAAAACTAATTGGTAGCAGAAGTAGGCTGTTGTTGACTGTTATGTGGACCAGTCCCTAGAGGAGGAGGAGAGCCTTTGTGGGTTACACTTCTGTTTGAGAGACAGTAGTTAAGTACTAACTATAATGATTCCCAGGTTCTGATCTTGGCTCTGGGATCAAAGTGTTGTCTACTGGCTACAGCTGTGTGTATAGATCAGGGTGCAAGATACAACCTGTAGGCTAGATGCGGCCCACCAAGCATTTTAATTTGGTTTCCCCCAAAAAGACCCTTGGACACGGAGCAGCTCTATGCTGCTCAAAGCTGCTGGTTGCTCCATGTGGCTCTCTGTGCAACTCTGTACTGGGGGAGGGGGTAAGGCTTCATGCACTGCCCCTGCCTCCACCACAATCTCTCGGCTCCAATTGGCTAAAATCCAGCCTGAGGGTCTTGCTGTGCTGCTGGCCGGGAGCTGCCTAGGTATGTGCTTCCTTGCCAGAGTCTGCCTCTGACACCCCACCCCCCCTTCCATACCCTTACTCCCTGCCCAGGTCACCAGCCAAATCCTCTGCACTCCCCACCCCAAGTCACAGCTCTCTCCCAGATCCTGCAACTCCTCCTACAGCCCTCCCCCATGCCAGAATCTTCTCCTGCACCCATAGCCCCTCCCAGACCCTGCACCACAATCCACTGCCCCAGGTCACAACCCTCTTCTTCATCCAAACTCCCTCTCAGACCCCACACCCTCTCCTGCACCCAGTATCCTTCTCTGAGCTCCCTTCTGCACTTAATCTCTGTCCCAGACCCCATACTCCCTTCATAGAAAAGTGTGGCCCTTGACCACTTACCAAAATCTTGGCATGGCTCCCCATCAAAAATTATTGCCCACCATGCCTGACCAATCTGATTAGCTTCTATGATGAGGTAACTGGCTCTATGGACGTGGGAAAGTCAGTGGATGTGATATACCTTGACTTTAGCAAGGCTTTTGATACGGTCTCCCACAATATTCTTGCCAGCAAGTTAAGGGAATGTGGATTGGATAAATGGACGGTAAGATGGCTAGAAGGCCAGGCCCAGCGGGTACAGTAAAACTCCATTAGTCCGGCATCCAATGCTCCGGGACTCCTGATGGTCCGGCACCATCAGGAACCCGGAAGTGCTGGAGCAGGCGGACAGGCTTCCCCCATTCAGCTGCTGCTGAAACTGACCAGCAGCTGAATCAGGGAAG